CCCCCCCCCCACATCCTCCGTGCTGCACACCTTCCCCCGTGTTTATCCTTCCCACTGCACATCCTTCTTGCAGATTCCAGACGCCAGCCCAGAGGCCGGGAAGTGAATGTCTCCACCTGGACAGCCTGGGGCCTCACAACTCGCTCATGAATTATGCGCCCCTGTGGGCAGTTCCTCTCTTCTCCCCGCTTAGCCATAACGATGGCAATTTTCATATCCCCTCACTGTTCAGAGACCATATGTGGTCTGATGTGCTGAATAAAGAGGAGAAATCTCACAAGCATGGCTCTGTGGACAGGGGTTTTGCAGCCCCAGACACTTGTGGGAGCCGCCACCACAGACGCAGTGACTCCGTGAGCTGTGGCCAGCAGGAGGGACAAGGCCAGGAGCTGGCCCTGTGGCCTGAGCAAGTCGCTTGCCCTGTTGGTGGAGTGGCCCTTCAGATCCCTGCACTGCAGGCTTGTGGGGGCGCGTAAACAGCCACCCCAAGCTCCATGCGAGGGCGCCTGGGAAGTCCTTATTGTTGGGCTGAGCCCATGAAAATGCACCATACCAGGGAGCCTCGCGTCCCAGTGCAGTGCTGCGGCTGGCTGCACAGTGATTAGAGGCTCTGATCGGCAGTTTTACCTGTGTTTAATTAACAAAAATAGGAAAGGGTGCCGCGGTCACTTGCAGGCTTCCCAGTGTCTATTAGGAGGAATGTCTGAGGGCGCTCGTTGTGAACAGGGGGCTGGGCTGGCATCCACAAATGTGTGGCACTCACAGGGTGGGGCCACCTGCACTTCTGTCTGGCTTTGCAGGGACTGTCTGCCCGGAAGCCACCTGAAGAAACGGCCCTGTCATTGCCAGTGCATTCATGAACCTCTCCAGCCTGCGGCAAGAGGCCTCTGCTTAACAACCTTGGGCAGCTGGCAGACAGCTCGGAAGCCAGGGCCTCCTCTGAGAGGAAACACGCCGCCACTCCTCTAGGAAACCATATCTGGAGTAAGATGGGCTCCATCTTTGCATAGGACAAATGCCTAGGCAGAGTGGCCCTGGCGTTTGGAGGAGTTGATGTGAGCGCTCTGTATTTTGATGAGGAAAGAGCTGAGCCAGTGGAATGACAGCCAGGAGGCACCCCCTGCCCCAACACCCAGGCAGGGCCCTAGCCACTCAGCCTCCTGGAGGCACCATGCACCCTTCGTGGGGAGGGCGGGGCCGTGGTTCGCTTCGTTAGGTCACCAATGGAAGCATCCGAACTGCTTTTTAAAAACTACTGGGGAACTGCAAACCAAAAGCCACATATTCTCACTTGTAAGTGGGAACTAGATGACAAGGACTCATGGACGCAAAGAGAAGAACAACAGGCACAGACCCTGGGCCTATCAGAGGGTGGCAGGTGCAGGAGAGGAGGGAAGGGAGCAGCAAGAATAACTACTGCACGCCGGGCTGGTACATGGGGGATGAAGTCACCTGTGCACCAAAACCCCCGTGACATGCGTTTACCTATAAAGCAAACCTGCATAGGTACCCCCGAACCTAAAGGAAAAGTTTTTAAAAATATAAAATTAAAAAATAAATTCCTGTGCCAGTTTCCCCTTGATTTCCTGCTCCCAGCACACACCTCCTCCATCAGAGCCCCATGGAGAGTCTCACTCAGCCCCTGCCACCAGGACACAGAGCAAAAGGGCATAACGGGGGCTCACAGAGCTATTCTCTGTTCCTCAGGAAGCTGCCCTCACGCTCGGGGTGGAAATCAGACCCAACCTATGTCTTGACTCAGTTCAAAGTCGAGGGACACTTGAGAGATTCAGGGGACAGTGTCGCTCCACGCCAGCCTTGCCTCGTCCTTGTCCTCTGGTGAGAGGCCTTGGAATACAAAGAAAAATGTGGCCGGACTATGTCTGTTGAGAGTCCCCAGTCCATCCCAGAACTCACTAACAGTGCTGGTGGCGACGGGGCCATTTCTGCAGGTGGCTTCCGGACAGGCAGTCCCTGCAAAGGCCCCAGTCCCATCCTCAGAGAGATGACACCTTTGTCCCCACCATCTGGGCACGCACATCCCAGGAATCTTAGACACACCGCTTTCTGTAGGATGCCATCTGCAAGCAAACGACCTGAGAGCCCCATACTTCGCACCATTATCTTGCTGTTCTTGGCAAGCCTTTCCCCGGCGGGGCCGCCCTTGCTGGGAGGTTTGTAGTTGCAGCAGTTACAATGGCTGGAACATCAGCAAGTGCTGCTGCCTCCCGGGGAGGGCCTGCGCCAGCCAGACGCTCTCCCGCGCCCCCGGGGCCCCAGGGTGACTTCTTTACTGATCTGTCCTGTCCTGCCCCGCCCGTTCTCTCTTGCAGAGCGACTACTCGAGTGACACGGAGAGTGAGGACAACTTCCTCATGATGCCCCCGCGGGACCACCTGGGCCTCAGCGTCTTCTCCATGCTCTGCTGCTTCTGGCCCCTGGGCATCGCCGCCTTCTACTTGTCCCACGAGGTAAGGCCGCCTCGGTCTGTCGCACATGGTGCACGGTGCTCAGGTGTTGACACGGTAATCCTGGCCAAGGAGGAGAGCCGAGACACCTGACAGCAGCTCCTGCGGTGGGGTCGGCACTTGCCCAGGTGGAGGATAGGCTGGGAGAAGTCAGGGCGCCTTGGGGGCCGGGTGGAGCCATTCGGGCTGCCTCACCCCAGACATGGCCCTGTCCTCACAGAGGTGGCTTGCCTTCAGAAGAGGCTTTGGGACCGAAGCGGTGTCTGCTGGGTAGAAGGCACTTGGCCTTTGGAAGGCTGGCCTTCATTTAGGTGCTGGGGTTGTGTGCGTGGACTGACCCCAGTGCCGGCAAACACCGTGCCCAGTGGGCTACGTTGAACTTACTGAGAAAGAAGAAAAGAAAGGTTCTGATTTTCTCGCTAAAGGCTCATTCCTGTAAAATAGATTCTAGTTCCAGGGCAGCCCCCATATATCTGCCCCAGGTAAACGCCCTGCCTGTGGAAATGGCACGTCTCAGAGTGGCATCTGCCGTTCCTCCCCAGCACAGAGCTTCTAAAAGTTTTGCTTCCCAGCCCTCTTCACTACAAAGCATCCTGTTTGTTGCCCCTTTTGCAGCTTACATTTTGAGAACATTGGAAAGATTTTTCTCTACCAAACGTGGAGCATTCATTCAGAAATCAGCTGTATTCACATTTTTATTAATCAGAGAAAGACATTTCTGCTTGCCAATGACAGAGTGAGCTGATGGCATCACCATGGCCTGCTGCTGCCTACCCACCCAAGACAGGGAGAAAGGGCACTTCTCTGCTGGCCCAGGGTGGGGGGTGGCACTGGGCACCATGGGGTGTTCTCAGGGAGTGCTGAAGATACCTAGAAGGCACAGAGGGTCTCGCTCCAGCTTCTTGGGTTCTGGGAGCAGGGCTGCACGCAACTGGGCCTGGCAGGTCCTTCGTCTTAACAGATCCCCTGTCTCAGCTCAGCAGTTGCTTCTTGTTGGTTTCTGTATTGGTTGGGTTTGCTAGACGGGTGAGAGGATAACCCGCCCCTGCCTTTATGGGGCTTCTGTTTTCCCCTGCACATCTTGAGTGGTGACCGGCCCCTCTTCCTGACATCCAAGGAGGAGCAGGGGAGAAGGTTGGGTGGCCTATGATCCTCCTAAGGGCAAGTGCTTCTTGACAGGGCATGAGAAGTCGGGAGGGCTTTGCAGGCAGGGGTAGAGCTGGAGGGGCACGGTGGGGAAATCTTGACCTGCTGGGGCTGGGCTGAGCAGTTGTTCCAGACCCGGCTTTGACATTGAAGTTTTGTCCAAGCTTTTGTTGTGACTTTGTCCCACAAATGCCATAGACCTCTTCTTCAGCGGCACAAGCATGGGGTGGGAAGCCTGACTCCTGGGTCTGGCAGGGCCTGGTGGCTATGGATTGGAGGCAGGCATGGGTGAACCCCGGCTCCAGGGTGAGGTCCCGGACTGAGACATACAGGAGCTGGAGAAATGGGTGTGGGCGGCACAGGGCCACGGTGGGCAGAGCCTGCTGTGCCATGTAAACTGCGCCGTGATGCTGCCAACAGACAGGAGAAGTCCTGCAAAGGAAAGAGAGATCCGACCCTGGAGCTGAACAGGTGACATCAAACGTGTCCCCAAAGCCTCCCTCGTACACCCCAGCCCTGCGTCATCTCCATGTGAGGAAAGATAGGGACACACCCACCTTCATGGGGCCCCGTGGCTGAGACACCCATGTAAAAGTGCCAGAGTCCTGGGTGGATGGGAGCCCTGGACAAATGGCAAGGGGCGGCAGGCAGAGGTCACCTATGCGGCTGAAGGAGAGACCAGTCCTTTGTGGTGTCTGTGGTCTCTGCTGCGCCGTGTGTTCGGGTTAAAGCCCCAGTCTCTGGTCCAGGGCAAACTGTGGACAGTGTCTCTATCCAAAAGATCATCATTATAATAAAAAGCAAAGCTACAACTGCAGAGACTGTGTCTAGAGTCTCTTCCCAGAAAGTGATTATATTCTGAACACAGTAAGAGCCTCTCAGGGTTGGGTCTGAGGACTTGTGGTTGATACGTTAGACGGCGAAGAGGATTTTGATTACTTGTCTAGCTGCAAATGGGAAATGCAGAGGCTTCTGATCACATTTTTCGGAGGTGAAGTACAAACATTTTGGGGGTGTCAGTGTTGCCTTCTCTGTGGGTGTAGAGAGGAGCCCTTGGGGCCGCTGCCTACAGGCGTGCTTTTCATTGTGGTTTGAGAATGGAGTTCCCTGCGGTGGAAACACAGCAGAGAAGAGGTGCCGACACTTTTTACAGATACCTATGCAGGTGAGTCCCCTTTGCAGGACCTGTATCTGCATCCCTCCCCGATCACAACTCCCTTCCCAGGCGGCTCCCCTCCGTCTGTGGCGGTGGCTCCGGGCGTTGCTGCAGATCCAGGAAACAAGCAGCCCGGAACAGGACGCCTCAGCCGGCTACAAGGCTGCGGAGCACTGTTTACAGCCCACACTGCAGACGTGTGTCTCCAGCAGGCCAGCACGGGGGAGCCGGCAGCTGCCAAGGGGAGACAGTGTGGCACAGAATAGAACAGATGCGATCTGAGGATCCTTGCACTAAATTAAATCAGTGCTTTCCTAGGCGAGGCCAGCTGGGAGTGCAAAGCCCAGGGCTGGAGAGGGGGAGCCCAGAGCCTTCTCTGCCACGGCAGCCAGCATCTCCTGCCACCTTGTTGGGTCAAGGGGATGATGCACCTGGGCGGAAAGCGTGTTGGTGGAGCCCAGGCTTTCCCAGCCCTCAGTGCCCATCACAAGGAAATCTTGGCATCTCAGTGTGACTTTGGGTTTTTTTTTCCTTTTATCTCAGATCATATCACAGTGTACTCGCTGACAGTTAGGCTATGTCTGCTCATTGTCAAAATAACTGTTCAGTGAAGTCAAAGGAACATGCCAGGCCATTTCAGAAAAGCAAAACAACTTAAGGTGATGTGATTAAATCAGGCAGTGGAGGAAAGCAGGGATGCCATCTCTGGAACCATACACCCCAGATACGTTGTTCTGTCCTGTTGTAGCCTGGTCGCATTTAGCCGGCAGCTCTCCCGTGCCTCAGTATCCTGACCCATGCAATGATGTTAAAATGATTTCCACGGCGTGCAGTTGGCTGAGGGTTAGAGATGTGAAGGCCAGTGAAAGTCCCCAGGAGACACCTGCAGAGCGGCTGCTGCTGGTCATGCCCTGCTGGAAACCTGCCTTCTCCAGGCACTGGGGGTCCAGGGGCCAAGGGACACCTGGAAAGACACAGATAACACCTTTCCCACAGACGTTGCCAATTCTAAAAAGGTGTTCCTGAAGTAGTAATCAGCGTTAGTGAGGTGGTTATTGGCTGACGACCTAATGTGTGCAGGATTCAGCGCTGGAGCCATGCGCCCTTGCTTCCAGGATGCAGCACTTGATAGAAATGCACGCTGTCTGGTCTGCCGCAGACCTGCTCAGTCAGAGCAGGCCTTACTCTGGGGCAAGGCTCAGAAATCTGCATTTTGAGGAGGCCTCCAACTCCTCGTGGGTGCTGCTGTAGCCTCCTGGGAGGGGTTGTGGTTCATGGTGACCTGCACTGCAGGCACGGCTGGGAATCTCATGAGCAGCAGGGAAGAATGACCCCTGGGCTTTGGTTGTGATGCGAAAGGAAGAGGGATGGGAGGAATGCCCTCAGTTCTAATGCTGCTCAGGTGTGAGTAGTGCTGTCGTCCACACGTGATCTCATGGGAGCTCCATGACGTGGGTGCTGAAATCAGGGTTCAGTGAGGTTGAGTGATGTGCCTAAAGCCAACACTGGTGAGCAGTGGGCCCAAGCTAACAGGATGGGCTGGCTGGGAGGCACCCACCTTCTCTGGGGCAGGCATCTGGCTTGTCCTTGAGCTGTGGGGTGGGGGTGGGTGGGCCGTTGAGGGCAGCATGCTGTCTACAACTTCGCTTTGCCCAACAGTGCTCCATCCAGCACCCCCGGCAAGCATGCTTGGCAAATCAGTTCATACAGAGGAGGGTGTGGGTGTGTGGGATTATGGTGGCGTGGCTGCATCTAGGAACTGACATTTCTGAATGAGGCTGAGGATAGATGTGAATGCCATAATTGGCTGAGTGGCTGCTGTCAGCTAGTTAATGCACACACTTTATCTTATTTAATCTTCACAGTGAGTCCGGAAGGTGGAAAATTATTATCTTCATTTTATAGATGAACAAAACTAAAGTTTCAAGGGATTTAATAACTAACAGAAATCACAGAGGTAGCAAGTATGGTACATGAGGGAAATATTAATATTCTAACCCTTAAAGCCACATGGTCTGCAATATAGCTTTGACTTTTATCTGTTTGCAAACAAAAATAGAACCACAGTCCTTGCTTGTAAATTCCCAATACCCCCACCCTGCTTGGAGAGGCTGGCAGGGGAGGAAGGAAAGCCCGTTTGAGCGTGGTGTGGCATTGGTCCTCATGGTACTTCACTCCATCCCATATGATGGAGGCAGCTGGCGACTGAAGCCAGAGCCCCTCCCCAAGCGGGCAGTGGACCTGGACCCGTGCCGGGCAGGCCTGAGGATTCGTGGTGATTCCACCGCCAGGCATCTTTGCATCCAAGCATTTATTATGTCTCGATCTGATTTCATTTCATAAAATGTTTCTTTACTAACTGCAACATTTTAACAATAATTCACTGATAAAAGGGTATTAGGAACCAGATTATGAATTTTATGAATAGTACCAGCAAAGGGAATTGGGTAAATTAGGGGAAAAAGCAAATCTTTTCATGGTACTGAAAATCTAGAACCAAGAGTGCAACCTAGCTAACAGCAAAGCCCCTTGGAATTCATTCATTTCCGCACTGATCAGTGAACGCCTCCCACGTGTTCAGTAAGTGCCGGGCACGCAGCAGTGAGCAGAGCACAGCAGGCCCCCCTCAGAGCCGAGGCCCGGGTCGCCAGCCTCTCTTCCTTGCAACGTCAGCTTTACTTTTCTTTCTACTCACTGGCTC